CATCGATTGATATTCGCGCCTCCGACCTGATTCACGGGCCCGCGACACCGTCGGCTGCGTTAGAATTTAGATGGGTGCATTACGGGGGAATTTAGCGCGCTCGAAACACCTCCCTGTATTAACGATCGTTTGTTTATTATACCGTGCATGTGTCGCATTGAATCCGCGTTAAATGGTTTTCGGGCATTGGGGGAGAAAGGCAGGGAGGGAGGGAGGGGGAAAGGGGAGTTGAAACGGCCACGGATTTTGGATTCGTGCGAATCTAGAGGATGGGAGGGGTGCGAAAGAATTGTATATCTGGTGGAGAGGAATTAATACGTTGTGGAGCTAACCAAGGTATACACGATGAAAGGTAAACGCAAAATTAAATCTGACGTGAATCAACGTAATAACGTATCGCATCTATCGTGTGAAGCGTGGAGGAAGGACGGGTACGTAAAATTGTACGAGGGTGTATCATCATCATCATCAGAGAATCGAGTGACTGAATTAAATGTTATATAGAAAATTGCATCAATGATGGGTAAACAGATTTGTTTGAATATTCGAAAAGAAAACAACAAAATAAAAATTTTATTTTTATTATAATATACCATAAGGAAGAATTGTGCGAATTAATTTTCATTTTCAAACTTTTTTTTAATAAGAATCAAGAAACTCGGGTTTCTACGTGTATTTTAATTAATTGTTACACATTCCTAGCCTGTAAATGCTTTTATCGCTCATTGTATGCGTACGTGCATAGAATTGTATCGCGCATAAAGAGCTTTCTATATGTATATATATATACTCTACGAAAATTCAAGAGAACGTAGAGATACGTGGAAATTGAATTCTATTCTTGATGCTTGATGCTTGATTTTGCATCTCTTTTAATCTATTCGATTATGATGGAATCTCTCGCTAATCTTTTGTTATCTTTTTTCAGGAGGGTTCCGGACAATGGGTCAGCCTCGACTTGGAGCTCGAGATGAGAGGTGCCGAGATCATCGGCACGAAAAAGCCAACTGGCCATTCGCTTCTCATAGACTGCCGTTTGGAGCTTCCGTTCGGTAAGTCAGCAGAAAATTTTTCCTTCTATTCGGTGTAAAACAGTGGTGGAAGCATGTCTGTCGAATGTAAGCGTACGTGTCCGCGGGCGTATATATATATAATATATATATAATATATATATCTATATGTATATATATGTACCCACATACAGATAAATGAATAGAAAATTGGAATGATAATGGGACCGATTGTTAAAATATAATTGGAACAGCGAATACATATATATGAAAATAAATAAAATGGAGTGGAATTGAATTAAATGAAAAAAAAAAAAAAATGAAAAAGGAAAGGAGAATAAAGAACGGACACTTTGTATCTTTGAAATGGAAAATATTTTCTCGGGTGTATCCTCTTCGAATTGCAAATAGGCCGTAGTTTTCGATCAACGTTTAATAACCATTAAAGACGTAGCATTGGAAATCCTTAACGGTTCATTCTGTTTTCCCCGATAAATCGATTCTATCTTTCAATCTCTATTATTCCAATCTGTTTTAAGATTTCCACAAGAAAGGAAAGAAACAGAGTGAGAGGGAGAGATAGAGAGAGAGGGAGAGAGAGAAAGAGAGAGAGAGAGAGAGTTCAATCGAGTCGAAATAATCAAACGTTGTTTGTTTGTAAATTTGAAGTTGCCTGTCGTGGCATCGTTTTACAATTCAAAGCGGAGAGAGAGAATAATCGTTAATGCAATTTTTTCGTTATTGTTGTCGGGGATTGAATCGTTCGAAATAACGTCGGGAATCGGCCTCTCGAAATGAAAAAAAAATTTATCGTTATTTTATAATTATTGCCATCCCAAATGGCTGAATTGTTTTATTAGTCGACATTTTCGTTGGATTAAAAACGACGAACGGAAGTGAACGGCGTTTTACGATTACAGTCGATGATTAAAAATATCCCGTTCATTTAACGGCCTGTATCTAATTTGTTTTACTTCAAAAATCGTGAATCCAGAGATCAAGGATACAATTTACGCGAATCTTTTAAATTTACTTGCTATAAAAATATTTACAGGCTGGATCCTGTAATGTGACCATCTTGATTACTTTTTCATCAATTAAACTCGAACTTGTATTTCCTTTTTTTCCCAATACTTGATTAAGATTAATAAATAATTTGAAGATCCTTCGAACGAAACAAATATCTATCGATCCGTTAATAATACAACATGGAACGAAACAATGAATGAAAATAATCAAGGTGTTCGCATTAAATAATCCACCCTGTATATACCGTCTATTCGATCCGATACGAGAAACAAACAAACAAACAAACAAACAAACAAAAAAAAGGGAACAATAAAAAAAAACTACTACCAATGCAATATCGATGTTCCCCGAATTCACGTTCACGTTCATATCGTTTTCTATTCATTTATCGATCTTGCCCACCCCCTTACGAGCTAAGACCTTACGAACCGTCATCATGGTGCACGCAATATGCG